GAAAATAGACATGTACCAGTATCTTCCCTTCCTTTTGAATGGGTCCAAACTAAATGTACTTTATTGCTAGCAACGGGGCTTTTCTCTGCCTTCAGAGGAAAATGTAATAAATAAAGGGAAGAAAATCTGACAGTGAAGCACAACAAAATTGACAGTAATTGAAGCTACTGATTACATGTTGTGCTTCAGAAAGACAGAAGCACTGCCATGTACACCATGAGAAACAAAGCCCACTCTTAAATGTTTAAGTTTCAATAAATGATAATAAGGGATAATTATAAAGCAAAAGTTATAGGCCTGGGTGCATGGCAAAGCCAGTGACACACCCACTGCCTCAGCTTAGTCTTTTATACTGTTACAGTTGCATTACTTCCTCAAATGCCTGCAAATTTATTTTGAGCTAATTGGCTACAATCTTGCTTCAAATTTTTGCAGCATTTGCACAATTCAATAGTTGCAGATGTCAGCAGTCTAGGGTGGTCTTCGGATGCCACTTTTAGGCTTGGTAGTTTTTCTTTTAGGGTCTTCTGCTCTCCATTTATACTGTCTTAGATGTAAATTTTGCAATTGACAGCATATTTTAAAATACATCTTTCGCAAGCCCACTTATATCTTGTGAAAGCCTTGCTTTCCCTTTTACACTGCCTGCCAACCATTACAAATGGTTATACTTGAAAAGCAGTTTAAAACTTTCAATAGTTGTTTGCAAACAATTAGAGTTTAAAAATTAAAGCAAATAAATTATCGTGAAAGCCAACTACTGCATAGCCATTTATAACATCCCCATAATGCTTCAGCTGTAGGTAAACTCCTTGTACAAAAAAAGGCTTATGACTCTCCCCAGTCAGTAAGAAAAGTTGTGACCCAACACTGAAAGGCTGCCAGTTTCTAACAGCTTCTACATTGGTTTCACATATCTACAGCTGTAAAGTATTTTGGCTTCTGATCCAAAGGAATCTACTCCACAGCAGGTACTGCAAAATAAAGACACCTTTACTGGTGCCAGGAACATGCAGGGGTCAGCACACCCATCTGCAAGTCCCAGTTTTGTTCATTTCACACCAGCTTTTATACAAATCTGACACCAATCCCTGCCACTTACTTATCTTGGAATCCCAGATCTGGGGGTTGGGGCCTTACCTAATTTGTGGTTTTCTTATCTTCAGCTTACAAATTCAACGCATCATTTCAATCTAACTAACACAAATAACTACATCTTCCTTTATGACACAGAGATGTTCATGGTAGACTTATGGGCCACCTATACCTATTTCACTGATAACACTCTAGTTCCATATCTGTTCTAGCAGAACCTATGACTGCTGGTGCTTTGGGAGTTTTCCACTCTTTATCACTTTCAGCTGGCCAGGGCTAGGTCCTTGTTTGGGAAGCAGCTGCAGTTATCACTCCTAGCATAGGGCTGGGTCCCTCCTTGTTACAGTTTGCAGTAGACCCTAGGTCCTACTGATTCACCTTGTTGAGACAAGTCCATGTTCTGTATTTCACTTCACTTACCCGTGGCATTTTAGAGTGAAGCCAGATTCAAGGTACAACTTGACCCATGTGCTTGCTGAGGCTGTAAAAACCACAGTTATGTAAACAGGTCAAAGTTGGCAAGCTCAGAGAAGCCACATAAACTTACAGTCAATTTTGCAGTGGCTAAAATGTAACAGGTTAGTCTTTCAGCAGATCTTGGTTCTGCAAGAGATTTAACTTAAAACATGTGGAGTTCCTTTTCAAATACCCTGCTAGCTGCAGAAGGTATTTAGGACATGAACTGTTTAATTTCAGTATACCTTGTATACCAAAGTATTGTTCTCCTCCTGATGTGCACAGATGAGACCTGTTTTGCTTCAGTTATTTCACTGCAAGGTATGAATAGTGTAGGATTTTTTCTGAAGTACAAAAAGCTGAGTTTTCTGTTTCAGAAGATAATCTGGTGTTGCTCTTCTACATTTATATATACATACATACATAGAGTGGATTGATAGCTTCAGACTACAAACATACATATCTATATTTACAACATATTTAGCCATTGCTTTTTTGGGAGGAATTCACATAATAGTCACTATTTCAACCAGTCTTTAGTCTTTGAACTCCACACTTAGCCAGTGATAACTACAGCTGGGCTGGTGCAGTAAGAGCCCAGGGAAAAGAGGAGGGAGGGAGGGTGAGTCGGTCACTGCATTTGCTACAGGACAGCAAATCTCTTCCAATGTCTCAGGTCACAGCAGGTATAGGAGCTAGCAACAGACTCTTTCCTCACTGAAATCAAAAGGCAGCGGATAAGCCGAGCAAAGTGAATTATTTGTGAGAAAGGAGGGACAAAGTTTAAGAGGATTCAGCCCCAGGTCAGTACTACCAGAGCACCACATTGTTCCTGAGGCAGGTGCAGGTGACAATGGCTGTGTGGGGACACACCCCCACGGCTCCCTGGGGGAGGTGTTGCTGAGCACCTTTCCAGTACCTGTGCAACCCTCGTGATAAACACTCAGCTGCCAACTTGCAGAGTTACTTGTTCCTCAGCTCTTGGTTTATTTAGGGCAGTTTATTTTATAACTTGGTTTTGTGACATGGTTCTAAATGCAAACAATGCTCTGCAAAAATATTAATTATTGACACAGAGACTGAAAACACTGAAATAAGCAGATCCTCTTGATTAATTAGAAAGCAATTAATCAAGTGATTGAAAGTAGGCAGCTGCTGCATGAGAAGGAGCCAAAGTGGAGTCTTACAGGCTGCTTTGCTGACTTCCCTTTGGTGCCACCAGGAATCTGTGCCTAAATTGCTGTAGGAGCTGCTGCCTCGCATTAGGTCTGTACTGAGCTGTGCTAGCAGCCTGTAACTCTTTGAGAAAGACCTTGTAACTCTGAGAAAAATAACTACCTTTTCTTTTTTAAAAACAAACTTCTGTGGTAGCAAATTGTTTCTGACAGGTCTAAACTAGGTGGAGAGCAAGGGGCCAGATGTATCAATATATATGATCCTGTTAATTACAGTAAAAACACTTAATTTATGCACATACTTGTCATAGTTTTATCATGTATGACTTGATATAGACAAGGATACATTTCCAGGAGTTATTTTTGTGACAGGTTTTTCCCTATCATCAGTACTTGCAAGAACCATTGCCACAGCAGGAACCTTGAACCTGTGACTTGAACCTTGAACTTGTGACAGTTAATCTGTGTCTCCTGGAATGTCAGACAGTTCCAGTGGCCTTGCTGCCCTTGCTCTGAAGGGTATTCGTGTTAAGGCTAAAAGCCAATGTCCATCAGGATTTCGGGTTCCACTTCATACAAGAATTCACTACAATATTGCAAATGCAGAGACAGTGCACAAAGGGATGACAAAGTTCCATTTCATACAGTGGAAAAGTTCTTTTTTCCTCTGCATGGTCATCCCTGGAAACTGGCCTGGCTTCCACTCCAGTCACACTTTGAAGGCTGCTGTAGAAGTTCCCTCTTCCCCAAGTCTATGAGGCTTTACTGTTTTTTCCCAAGTTGTGTAACTAAAAACCATTGGGCCTCCACAAGGAAATTGTTTTTAACTATGAAACAATGACACTTCATTAGTTCAGGAAGACAGAACATTCACATTTGTCTTTATTTCAGGGCCTCCTGCAGAAACAGAAGGAGTTGGAGAACACTCTGGTTCCCATTGTAGCTCAAGAGACCTACATGCCACCGTTTTGAGAGGTGCATATGAATGTTCTGAATCCTTAATATGGAAATGCACAGCACTTTGCTACTGTAATTAATTATAAACCACCTCTAGCTTTTTTATGCAAATTAAATTATGATGATTTTTATAGACTTTTAATAGGATCATGTTACATTTTATATTGAAGATACTTTAAATTCATAATTATTTGTCTGTTTAGAATGGTTTTCATGTTACTTGAAGACAAGTGTCAATTTAGTATAAACCACCAAAACCATGGAAGTAAACTGTTACATGGGTTTTTGTAGAACTCAGTGTGTGAATTTTGATAAAATATGTATTCTGAATGAATTTAATTATCTTTGTTGTTATTTTTAACTATACAAAACTGCCTGTATTTCAATATTCAGCCACCTTTTAGCCTTATACAGCGAGTATCAACTTAAGTACTCCCAGATTCCAAGACCACAGTTCATCACACAATCTGGTACAATTCTTTGATAAAAGGGAGTTCTTTTTTTCAGAAAAATTACTTACCATGCTTTGGGGGAGGGTAAGAAGTTTTGCAGTAGTCTGGTTCTTACAGGTACACGTTCTTAACTTGAATAAATCAATCCACCGTTTATAGAGGGGAAAGAATCAACTTTAGACAAAAGCCCATGGGTTTTGCTTGTTTTTTAAAAACTGCCCTTTTAAACCAATAATTTTCTCCCAACTAATTTTGTGGATTTAGAGATACGTAGTTTCAAACAATCACCTGGAACCAAACAGCACATCCCAGAGAAAAGCACTGAAATCAAATTACAAAGAGGAAGTCCCCCAAACACTAAACTTTGGAGAACCTGAAGAGGAGCACTAAAAGCCAGGAGTCTCAGCAAAGTGCAGCAACTCCATAGCTGCTCCCTGGGGCTGCTGCCTTTGGAAGCCTGAAGCAGAACAAAACAAGAGAATCGCTGAGGGGCAAAAGGTTGGTAACTCAGCAGATGTGAAATTTAAAAGACAGGATTAAGAAACAGGTAAAACTGTACTTACCCCAGTGCTAGTTCACAAAACAAATAAACAAAGCTAAACAAACAAACAGAGACTGAAGCCCCAGGCATCTTTAAGCTGAAATGGGAGAGGATTAAGGTTTTTCTGATGCAAGCTGAATTCCCACAGTCATTAAATCCAGGTTTGTCCTTCTCTCATTACAGTAATCACAGTGGACAGATAAAAGCTGGGAGGACACTGCTGGAGCACGCAGTGCACACAGATAATGGCTGTGCATGAAACCAAGTTTGGCTGTTCCTCAAGCACTTTGCAAACAATGTAAAAACCACAGACAAAGCAATGTGTTAGCAAGTCCCTTGTGCATTAAGAGTTTATTTGACTTTTTTGTAATGTAACTGCACCATTGGTTATGGTTATTCTAATTGAGGTATTTAGCCAAAATCCAGTATATAGTCATGAAAATAAGTACACTGCCTTAGAGCTATGTAAAAACATCATACAAAATTTGTGTCCATGTCAAATAAATACATTAATTTTAATATTTATGTAAAGAAACATGACTTGGATACTCTTGTGGTTAAGAAAAAAAACCAAGTGGATCTTTCACATATTTTAGGCATACATTCAGGTTTACATTAAACAGACCTCCAACTGAAGTTCAGGTAACAGGTCAAATACAAATGTAGAAACTTAAAAGTGCCAACAAACAAGATAATTCAAGTACAGTAAACGTTAAAAAATATATGTATTTATTTAAATTTTCAGATGGTTCCAACAGGGACAGGCCATCAAGGATTTAAATAGAACATGAAAACATTTGAGATAACAAGAAACATTTTGTTCCAGAATAAAATAGAAATCGTTAATCCAACATTTTAGAAACAGAGAAGTCCACAGCAACTTAGAAAAAGAGCCTTAAGAGTTCATTTCTGTTCTGAATATGACCTGGAAGAATCACAGCAGCTATCCCAGCCACCAGGTGACAATGACTTCTCTGTATCCATGCTCTGATGGTAGGCAGATAGAAAATAATTGCTCCCGTCTTGGTTTTGATTTACAGGAGAAATTTGGTATGTTGTTCCCAGAAAAGTCTGATGAGTGAGGACATTAAAGTGGCTGAATTGATGGGACATGTTTAATTGTCTGCTATAAACCTGGAAGTTACTGAAAGGAGTTTGTTCAACTGCATTGTGTTTTTCTCCTTCAGCAGAGCATGTTGTAGAAACTGTAGTAATTGGCTGCTTCTCTTCCAAGTCAGTTTTGTAAGTCTTTTCCCCAAGGGCAGTTTGTGCTTCAGGAGGTAACTCTGTAACTGATAAGGAGCTTTCTTTAGCATCTACTCCATGTGGGCCCTTGGCCTCTGTCTGCAAAGTTTCCACATGAGTATCATACTTAGAGGCACCACTGCAGATTTCTATTTCTGACAATTCATCCCCTGAATCCAGAGACATGTCCTCCTCATCCTTTTCATCCTTTTCTACAAGAACTACATTAAAAGAGAGAGAAAGTTCTATTCTATTGAAATATAAACTTTGGTTAAAAAGGCCATACACTACTCACAGTGTTACACTTCAGGTCTGCCAGTCCAACAGCACTTTAAGTCTTGGTCTTCTGCCACTCGTGTTCACTTACTCAACACACACACTTAACCCTCTGTGGGAGTGTCCAGTTACTCGGTGCTAAAAGCTTCTGCACACCGTGCTCATATTTAGTGCTGGGAAATCCCAACTCCCAGCTCCAAAGGGGACAATGTCAAAACAGCATCTAAAGTTACACAGCAGGTGAGTATTTGATCAGACAATTAAAGGAGTACAATTACTGACATCTCAGTACAGGTTATCTACTCTGTAGATAAAGCAGGCAGAGACAAGTTTATCCTTCTCCTGAAAACAGATGCCCAGTCTTGTGCCTCAAATACCATGTTAGCCTGTACTTCTGTATTTAAGGTCTCTGGTGCTCCATCCCCACTGCTTTTCCCCCATTTCAAACAGAAAAAGAGTAGCTTGAGAGTTGGGTTTTCCTTGCCAGCTGCAGTGGCTGTTGACCAGAGTCAAGGCACACTGTCCCAGCACCTCTACCCCACACATGCAGTTCAGAAAGGAAAGTTTAAGTGTCTTTGACCTCACCTGATTGTCTTTGGCCAGCACTGCAGGGAGGAAGGTGATTCTGCTCAGTAACAGAGTTGTGAAACCCAATGAGGCTTTTAAAGTTACGCATAAAGTCATCAACAGCAGCAACCACTATGCCATTGTCAACGTAACTCGAGAGAGTTTTCAGATTCTTTTCTAAATACATAGAAGATGAGTTTGTATTAATATTTAGCACCTATTATCAAAAAAGGGGGAAAGGTATTCACAAATGTGGGGTTTACCTGTTAGGAAGACAACATGTCTCTGTTGTATGTTTTGAGCCTGAAGCCTGATGAGACACTCAAGTTCTGGAGCATTTCGATTTTGAGAATCACAGTTATGGTAAGACATAATCTCAACCAAGTACTTCTTTTGATAGGTGTTCAGAAGGGTGAGTAAGTTCAGGGCATTGGCATTTATCCTGCAGTTGGGGGAAAGCTCACAATTAGAAACAATTTAAGGTCAGTCTAAATATCAAAAGACAAACATAAGATTAAGTTCTATTTAAGTGTTTTGGATGGTATAATGAAAGCTGAAGCATTTTAACAGCTGGTATTATAGAACCTTACTTACCTCCCCAGCTCTTTGAGCTTTTTTTGTATTTTGCAGTGGACTTTCCATTGCCATTTCCCATCTGGGGTATTAAGATCCTCCAGAAATTTTAGGAATTGTTTTAGTTTATCTGTTATAGAGATATTCAAGAAAAGTTAGATTTTGTGGTATGTAGACTGAAAATACTGCTTCAGCATATACAAAAAGCTCTTTCCTGTTTTCATCACAGTACAGTCACACAATTACAAACAGCAGCCACTCACTTCAAGTTTTCTTCCAGTCAGACTGGCCAACAGCAGTATGATAAAACTGAGCTGAGTTTCTGTACCTCAGGTGCCCAGCAGTGGTATTTAAAAGCTGACCTCAGTATACACACTCTGCCTTGCTAAAATATTTCAAAAAATTGTAATTTCATTAACTATTCAATTTCAAATGAATAAAAATATATATAGCATATTTTGGATGGAGTAGTAAGAATAAAAGGCTCCACAGACATAACTACACAATGTAATACAAACTGAAGACAAAATCTCTCTGTTCATGTGTTCTTCAAGAAGGCCACTGGGCTGAGAAAGAGACTGCTGAATTAGCTGAAATTCTCAAAGAACATCACAAAAATTGGAAAACCTGATCCTTCACTGTGGTGAGTACGGGACCTCTGACGTACTGAATTGTCAGGATTTTAGTTCTAAAGCTTCCAGAAGGATCACACCTACCTGGAGTGATGGACTCTGGGTTAAGGACAGACTCATCTGACACGACAAAACCCCCAGACACAAACAGCTCATTATAAGTGCGATTTTTCACATCATCCAAACTATCGACCCCTGCAAAGCTGACACAGGAGAGCCTCTTCAGAGTCACCAGGCTAGGGATCTGTTGAAAAACATTTGAAATCAGAGGTTTAACCACAGGTCACACAGAAAAAGGAATTACAGAACTCTGACCTACTAATGCCAGGCACCAAACTACAAAACACATTTTCAAATAATTACTGTTTCTTCTCTTGCCTAGGGAGGTGCTCTCTCTGGAGCATTACAGGAATAAGGTAAACGGCCATTGAGCACCTGGAATAATTTTACTTTCTGTCCAGCACTGTATCTTAAGCTGTCAGGAATAGCTCAGGTCATCTGAAAGTGGCCTTCACCTCCTGTTAGAGCATCACAGAAGCAGAACTACTCAGGCCCCTGCACAGCTTTACAACTTCTAACAATAAATATGCATTAGCACATGCATGGTGCTGGAAGAAGTTATGAGTAAATGTTGCGACAAGACCATTTTTACTACAACCATTCTGTTTCTTCAAACAGCAGCTAAACACAGGGTATACTGTTAAATGCTGTGCTGTTAGAAGAAAGCAGCCTTGCTCCAAAGGAGCTCCTCTCACTATTGACAACAGCTTTCTGTAGCACACAGTTACTTACGTGGGACATACCTTATGGATGAGGTTGGCAATGTCTTCATTTTGGATAATGATCAACAGTTTATCCAAATTATCTCTTTTAAGGAACTCCTCTGGATGGCACTCTGTGTTCCCTAACTTTCTAAGATATTCCTGACACCACAGAAAGAGGAAACAAGAAAAAAGTCAATAGGTAGTTTGGTAAAAACAATGCCGAGATGACAAGAAAGTTTTCCACTCTGGTGAATCCCAGAGGGACTGGCTGCTTTATCTCTCCTATAAATTAATCAGAAGGGTTGCAGCAACACAGAGCAGCTGTTTCAGCAAGTCAGTTATTCCTCTCAAACCACACAGAAACAACCAACTGACAGTATCAAACTGCCCCAGTTTTCAAGGAAAGCCAGACCTTTACAACTTTCATCTTACAAATTTAAGTACTGAAGCACAGTGATTTCTCGAAGTTCTCTCTACTATTAATTAGAGGGGAAGAGAAAAAACCCCAAAGGCACACAGAGTGACTTTTCATAAATTCTTTCTAAAATGGTAGCTATCACATTTCTTCCCTTATCACCTTTTTTCTGTAAGCCCACCCCCTGGCAGGATCTTCAGAAAGGACCAAGCTACAGCCTGTTCTGTTTTCCAGCTCAAAGAAAAAGCCTTACGTAAAAGCTAAATATAAGGAAGACTACCACAAAGCTCAGTGAAGAAATGGGACAGGACAGCCTATTTTCACACTCACTTTCACAGTGAAAGTGAGTCCAGTTTCATACAAGTGGATTTGAAAGACACTCTGTTCTGACACTAGAGAGAGGATGAACTGAAGCAGCATTACCTTGATTTCTCTGCAGAGAGCACTTTCCTCCTCTTCATGAATATAAAATTTGAGAGTGCTTTTCTGTACGCGTGCCATGATTTTGACCAAACTGGTAAATAATTCAGGTTTTAACTGGCTTATGAAATCAGAAGCTGGTTGAATTGAAATGTTTAAGTTCTCAGGGGATTTCTGAGTCTTCTCTGGTGGTTCCACGAGATCACCACCAGAAGAAGTCTGATCCTCTGGTTTAGCATTCCCATGAGGCATTTTCTCCTTCCCTAGGGGTAGGCTTGCTGAAGGCTGCTCGTGCGAATGCAGCTCTTCCCCCAGGTCATTGCACAGTGGCTCTGGGACTGGCGCCGTGTCACTGTCCCTGCACACGGCCAGCGTGTCAGGCACAGGCCCGGGGGCAGTGCTGCTCACCACCTCCAGTGCTCCAGGACTAGAATCAACTGGGGGAGTCTGCTTCATGCACGAAGAAGCCAAAATGACACTATTCAGCTTCTCACTCAGGCTCTCTATATATTCTTGGACAGAAATCTCTGATGCCTGCAAACAGATGTGTTCAGAAAGTCTCATTATCCTCTCCTGGGCCGAAAGGACTGGTGTGGACATGTCACTGACATAAGGAATGTTTTTTTGCTGCAAAATTTCTTGAATCTTTCTTGCAAAGAGCTTATTTTCTTCTAACAATGTTGTCTCTATTACTGCACTAATGGAATGCTTAGCTGTAAAAGGTTGATCTGTTAGTTCATACTGATCTTCAGGTTTCTCCACTTGTCCTGTGAAATGTCCATCTTCTGCTGTCCCCTTCTGTGTGTCTGAAAATGGAGAGCATGGCAATTGATAATCAGAATTTCTCTGTCTATTTACTACCCGGGGGTCATTAGGAAGTGCATCCATTGGTGGCAAGTATTCCAGTGGCTCTTCTGGTGTTTTCAGACCTACAGAAGAAGAGTTCATCATCACAATCATCTCATGTTTGAAAGTCACACACAGCTGATACACCAAAACCTCCAAATCCCAGCCTGAAAACAGCATTATTGTTATGCCTTCCCCACAAACCAACTTAAATCCCAATACTCAAGTGTTACAGTCTACTGAGGTACAGAAGCACAGTACATTTAACAGCTCCTAAGACAGTAAAACAGCACAGTCCAAGTCTGCTGAAAAAGCAGAATACAAGTCATTTTCCCAGAGATAACGTAGAATAAGCACAACAGGATATACCTTCATTACAAATTTAAAATTAAATTAGAAATCAAGCAGAGCAACATATGATTCAAGTATTTTTATTTGCTACTAGGTTAAAATCGTCACTTCTAAAAAGCTTAGACTCAAATGACCTTGTGGAGTTGGACTGCAAGCTGCTCCTGATCCTGCAATTGTGAAAACAAGTTTTTTTTTTCTTGAAAGGGAAGGGTATCAGTCTGACTGATTACTGACACAGCTTCAGTGGTGCTGCCAGGAGTGCTGAAAGACCCTCATAACCCCAGCTCAGTTTCTTCACCACCATATTCAAAACTATAACTTTGTTTGTTTTTAAAGCATTCACATTTCTAATTTGTGTTAATATGAGACCAAACCAATATTCTCCACCAGTATGTGTATTCATCCAGCAGATTTCTGTATTAATCAAATACAAGAAACAACTGCACAGGCTATAGACCTGCTTGTGTACCAACATGTGATACAAGAACGGATCTATTAATCCAGATACAAACCTTTAGAATATGTTTTCATTCATTATTTGTAGGAACAGAGGAGCTAAAGTCCATCTTACCTGTAATTGGGATAAGTTTCCAGTGCATTCCGACTTCCCCTAGATTACTGGAGCAGGGATGTTGCCTGAGATAGCCATGTTCTGTAGGTGCACTAGGACAGGGACTGCAGTCTTCAAAGGTACTCTCAGTGCTTCTTTCCTAAAAAGCAAACAAAATGCTCATCTCAAAACAACTTCTTTCAGTTTTGCTCACTATTAAGTTTTTACATTCTGAGCACTTGACAGAAAGAACTGAGCTCACCAGCACACTGGCAATTCTGCCATCAATCTAATCCAGTCAAACTTGGAAAGGTTTCCACGAGGTACTTCTCTGGTCTCTCCTTACTAAGGCAGTCTTGAGCACTGGCCTTACAGTATGGAAGCTGGGGGTGCCAAAGAGCAAGGGAGGGGAGAACTGGCTGCTCCCTCACTCTTTTCCAGGCTGTTGTCTTGATACCTGACTAAAGCCATGAGATGTCGGCATTGCTGAGGCACTGCCTAAAAATAGTATGGACCCTTAAAGAAGTTAATTTCATCTTACATTCCAGATGGGTAGAAGCAAAACAGCATGGAGATTACAGGTAGGACACACTCACCCCTGCTCTATGACTTAGAAACTGGGCTTTGTGTGAAAGTACCCGTAACAGAGATCATGGAACACTCTTGTAGGTAAGGAGATGGGAAACTGTGATCCCTAAACACAAGGGAACTCATATACAGCACCGCACCAAGAAGGCACATGAAGAGAGCTGAGCATGCAGTGAATTGCTCAGAATTCTTCAACTCTGCTCCTTTTTTATTACAGAAGGAATTGATATAAAGAACCATGAACACACTTAAGAGTGAAGAAAATTTCTATCTATGTTCCTACCAAACAGAAAAGCTTCACAGAAGAGTTAGTACATATCTGTGTTTGCCTCTCTAAAAAAATAGAATGTTTTTTTTCATTCAGTCTCATATTTATGAAAAAGCACTTTCACTGTCAGCATCTTGGCAGTTTCACTTACTTGTAAATGCAGTGTGTGCTCAAGGGGTGCTTCGTTGGGTGGGAGCTGCAGACCGACATCGATGGGGCAGGGCAAGCACAGCACATCAGTCTCCAGCATGGCCGGGCTCTGCGGGTCCTTGAAGGCAACACTGTCAGCCCGGGCAGTGTTAGGAAGCTCACGATCATCTCTGTCCTGAGCTGCAATGGATTCATAGCCGTATTTTTGTCTCACATACTCTTCAATTTCCTCAGTGTCCATTGCTAAGGCCTGAGTGACATACTGTGCCAGCGCCTGGTCCTGGTGGCCAGGAGACGCCAGTTTCTCCAGCAGCGCTTCGATGTCGGCGTTGGACACATCCACCTGCCTGAAGTCACCCTCGTGGCCACCATGGTCAGAATTCGTTGAGAACACAGAGTGTGGTGAATCCAAGGTTCTGCCCCCTTAGAAGAGGGTGAGGAGAGGAAAAGGAATCCATTACTCAGTCTTAAAATAAAACCATAACCATATCCCCCCGCCAAGATCTACCACGTACCCACGGTCTCAATCTTTAGCATCAGTTTGTATGTACACACACTTATTTTAACAAAAATGTAGACATGCTTTCATCACACAGTCTACATTAACAATCAATGTCAAAAGACCTTTGAAGGTTCACAGAATTCCAAGCAGGAATCCCAAACCATGAAGTCCATCCTTTGCCTCCTTCATCCCTACATGCCAGTCAGTATTTTTGTCCCCCTCAAGAGAACAATGAAGGACAACTAAGATCAGTCACTTCATCTTCCAGTGACTCACATACACGAGACTGGTGCTTGATGGAAATCCCCTCGTCTTTGTGTCACCCTGCTCCCATTTCCCCCTTCTGCAGGAGGCTTCTATAACTGCCTTGAGAAAATGGTCAGGGAAACAGAAATCAAAGGGGTTTTTTGGCAGACCTTAAAGCAGAAGGTATCTGTGATACTTCTCTGAGGTTTGAATGTAGATAATTTCATGTATAGAATTATTTAATTTTATTAGGTTGTTTCCTTTGTCTCACTATACACATTACTGACTATTTCAAAACTGAACTATGCTTTTTCCCTTAGGCACGAAATAGGATATTGGACACAAAGAATTACAGCAAAGTCAAACTCTACAAAAGACAATATCAAGTCTGCTGAGTGTTCTGTATTAAAAAGTCTTTGGACAGTTCCACAGGCAAGTAAATTCTTTGAAAGTCTGCTTTCTTTCCAAAGAGACTAAACAAAAGCAACTTCCAGGAAAATTCCCCTTGTCTCCTAGAAAGAGGAAATCTGCAAAAAATAAACTTTATCTTTATTGACAGATCTCAGACCAATGTTTAAATGAACCATCATGCATTAAATTGCCACAGCATGCAAAAAGATACTTAATCTATAAATCTTAAACATGCTCTGAATAACAATGTTTAAAGAAGAACTCTAACCAAAGACTTTCTTACCTTTGTACTGAAAAATATTCTCTGAAGAGTCACTCATTTTTAGGTATTTCTGCAAATTTTCAGATTGTTTTTCCAGCTTTCTTTTCAGACCACTTCTAATTCTGGGGTCTTCAGAATCAGAATCTCCACCAACGTTTTTCTTCCTACACTGGATCAAGTTAATAAGATCTTTGAGTCTTTCAGTATCATAGTCTCCAAAAGGAGGCAGTTTTTTTTTGACAGCAGTGGCTTCATATCTGGGATGGATTCTTTTCCTGCATTTTGCCTTGGCAAAGTCAGAGTAGTCTTCTGTAGCTTCATAACCTGAGATGGGACTGAAGCGCTGAGGCTTCCGATTTCTATCCAGCAGCTCCTTAGCACTGGAAACAGGGAGCTGATAGGCCTCACAACCGAAAATATAGTTCTGCAAGCAACTGCTAATGTGACCTTTGTATTTTGGGGCAGGATGCAGAGCTGTTTTGTCATCCAGATGTGCTGAGTACTCACGAAATGTAAATTCTCTACCTCTTCCAGGGCCATTGTAGAGTTTTTTAAAGTACTCATACATGCACTTTTTCACAACAGCATTGAAATCTGTACCGCTGTGTCTGCGGGACTGGATCAAAGCAAAATGCAGAGACTGAATCAACTTTGTGAACTCTCGAACTATTTCCTTTTTCTCGGTAGTTGAATTTTTCTGTGTTCCATATGGAACACTTTCTTGTGCTGCCAAAAGTAGAAAAGGGAATCCACAATTAAAATCAAACCATGAAGGTATAAATAAATGATGACTAGTTAGCAATACTGTGTTAATACATGCTGGGTGAAACACAGTTTGGAATGACCATGAAGAAGTAATTCAGAAGCCAGAGATGCTATATCAAGAAATTTCAACAAGTTTCACTTTCTCAAATATGAACAAATGAACCTACAATGTGCGATATTTGCTTTTGCGAAGAAACAAATATTTCTAAACACCAACACTATGGCCATAACCAATGCAAACTGTTACTCTCAGTTCACACACTAACTGAATACTACAAAATCTTCAAGAAACTATCACCTCTGTTTAAATAAACCTGCACACAACAGTGAACAAACCCACCTGAATAAATTACATCTCTAGACTCTGGAAACAGAAACAATGCATGAAGCACACGGGACCGTCCACTCTGGTGGTCTAGAACACAAAAAAATAAAAAACAGTTAAAAAGGAAAGGACCACCAAAAGTCAAGCTAGTGCTCAAAAACCGAAACAACAAACACAACTCAAACACAAGCCCAGAGTATGCTTACCATAAGGGGACATCATTTGCCCAGGAGAAAGAAGAAAAAGAAATCCTCTGTCCACAAGTGGCTTCACAAGGACCTGTTTTCAAGCAAAAAGAGCAAACTGCTTCAAAGACATTTGCTCACTATGAATACTCCTCTTGACTGTAAGATAATTCTGTCTTGGCAGAGAAGTGCCCTGGTACTTAAGACTATGCCAGCTAAGGAATTCCAGTGAGATTGTGGATCTTGTAGTATGCCTGAAACTACTAACTAGTAAAATTATTTTTAAAAATAGGAATAGTCAAATCTGTTGCACTCACAAGATTCTCTTTCTCTAGTTTTTGAAGTAAACCCTCTAAGTGACTCCCAGAACGGGACTTCTCCACAACTTCATACAGGCTACAGTACAGGCCATTCTTCCGCACTGACAAGACACAAGGGGAGAAAGAGAATGTAAGGGAAAAAGAAACAAAATTGTAATTCAGAAAACTTGAAAATTCTGCATTTAAATAAATTAAACGAGAATCATTTACCTTCTTTTCTGTCTTGGTAAGTTTCTTTTAAGAACGATGATGGTGAAATTTTTTTCTTCAGCTGATCAATGCTTGCAACTTTTTCAACCTCAAGCTTCTCAGGACTGGAGAAGAAGGGTGGGGGGAGATTAAAAAAAAATAAAGACCACTTTTTTTACCTTCTATATTCCTACGCTCACTGATAAAATAAGAACCAGTAAATACATGCCCTTAAGAATAATTTCTTTGGACTATCTCATGAGCCAGGGGTGTTTATTCCTGCAGAGGAAACAACAAACCCACAAACAACACAAAACACCAAACAACAAAGAGATGCTGACAGTTGTATGTATGCCTGAACTCAAGAAAATTCTGGATACACATGACTCGAGTCTTGTTTGACATATTTAAGGCAGTTAGTATTTTAGATTTTCATCTGATTATGTCCAAAACTCACCAGTCTCTACTCAAAAGAGTTTTAATAGAGCAGTATTTTAAACTTACTTTCTAAATGGCAATACTCACAGCTTGCATGGAAGGAAAGGTTGTGCTGATTTTAGGGAAACGTGACACACAAGTTTGCCTTTAATCCAAAGCTGTCCCCTCCACAATGTAACATTAGGTTTCTCTAAATTAAGATGGGAGAAAGGAAGACTAAGTGAAACCACTTGCCATCTGTGATTAAAAGAAGAGGCTGCTGAATCTCCAAAATCAGTATAGGGAAAATTTCATACTAATATCAGACAATAATGTTAAAAGGCAACAGAAAGGATATTATCAACCCTGTTATGTTTTGATCTGCTCTAAGCAGAGTAAAGGAGGCTGGTCTGTTACCTACACCTGTCAGTATAAGCACACCCTTCTAATATCTGAGGAATTATATCCTCTTTCCTTACCTTAACTGTCAACCACTTTCACACATATTAACTTTGCTTGTATGAAGTTCAAAACAAAACATGACAGGGAATTATATTATTTGAAGTGCCATTGAACACAAGATTCAGGTACTGAAGATCAGTTCTTACTACACTCTAAGTAAGAAAGGAGGGAAAAAAGACTTTTGATTTTGTTCACTTGTGGTTCATTGTGATAAAAGAAGATACACATTAAGGTGTCTGTTTGATCATCTAGTATCAGCAACCAGCATGGCTCAGGATGAAATATAGGTATACACAGCATAACTAAACTGGTCAAACATTAAAACTATGGGGGAAAAACATCAAATCCTTCCCTGTCTGTATCATAAAACCAAAAACTGGAATTCATTCTTACCTGTACTTCTATCTGCATGGAAGGTGTTTGCTCTAAACAAGAGAAGAGAAAGAGAATGACTAGGCTGGAACAGAGAATCTGACCACTGAGTTTTACATTAAGAATAGTTTATCAGTTTAACAAAATAGGAAGACTGCTAATTCCCTCTCTAACCTCAATCTATCACTGCTGCAGCATCTTGTAGTATTTTAGATACCTTGATAGCTGCTTTAACATTTCATAGTACAGTCTCCACACCTGGACATCTTCCTATCAGCACAGGTATCACAGTGATCTGTGATCAACTGGCCACCTACATATTCTCTCCACAAGCAGACACCAGTGAAGGATTCAGAGACAAAATATACAGAATATTATTTTAGAGTACCAAGCAAGATAATGCTGTGAAGGTTTTTATATCCACAAATTTCCTCAGTTAGATAAAACCCCACATTTTTTGTGGATTCCACCCAGGCAAAAGGCAAGCAGGTGGGAAGAGTTGCACAACTCTTGCCTTGCATTAGAAGTATTTATTATACTAAGTCCCTGTGACACATTCATTCACTTCAGTACTGTTCATTTAAATAAATTCTAAGCTACTGCCAAGAGCTATAAATTCTTCATGCTACATGCAGATTTTCCACAACTCATTTCCTAGCTTACCTTGATGGAGGCACAGATTTTGGTCCTTGTACCATGTCACCTTTATAAGTAAATGAAACAACAGCATAAGGACAAACGTGTCTTGGTCTTCGCCTGATCTCATCAAAGCTGTATTCATAAAAGTAGAACTGGGAAAAAGAAGAGACAATGTTAAATCAGAAGCCTGTAGGAATCCTTAATTTCTTTAAATGCTAGTATTTAAAATAAAGAAGTTTTTAAATGCTCCTCTCATTTGTACTAGAGAATACAATAAATTAAGGTCGTTTTTTTATCTTCTCCCTCCTTCATTGACCACTTAGATATGGACAGCACCTTCAGGAGTGAATCAAGAATAAAACATTATTGAAATGCAACATTTACTTGAAAGTATTTTTGGTGAGAGAAGGTATTAACTAATAAAAAACAAGAAAAATCAGAGGGAAAGTAAATATTGCAGTGAGTTTTGGAGTGCATCCTTAGCTCAATCACCAATAAAAAAATGTTAATTTTGGCACATTTGCAAAGAGAAATGAAAAAATACATTCATTTTTTAGCCATCTGATTCAGTGTCCAGCCCAGTGATTTACAGAAGACAAAAGAAGTTATTAATACTGAAGAGAATGCTTTCAAGCAAGGATCCTGAAATCTGCAGACTTGGTGGAATAATCTGGCTGCAACAGATTGCTACAGTAAGAGATAGAACACCTAGAGGAACATAAATGCTTGGAATTGATTTCATTCTGTCTCCCCTCATCATCTCCAAACCTTAGAATCTGGAAAGGGGAGTAAGAAAGAAAAAAAAAAAGAAAGAAAAATGCTATTCTCTCCTAGCCAACATTTTGCCTTTTAGGAGTCTCACTTAATGACCATAAACTAGCTGTACTTTTACACTTCAAACTCCCCACATCAAGTCCTCTCTTTCAGCCTCCATTCCAGTCCCATGTACATTGCCCAGTTATTTCCTATGCCACCCCCACCCCAGCCTGAGGGAGATCTTCACCTGTGTGGAGGTCACTTGGCAAGACCCCAGCAGTGTGCGAGTCCTTTTTCCCCAGCCCGGCCGCTGAAGAAGAGGTCTGGAATGTGTGAAGCTGAGTTTTCAAGGTTGTTTATTTTCCCTTATCTAGAATAGTTTCTGTCTGACCTGCCAAGGTCTGGCTAGCACAGAAGCCATGGCAGTCTCCTTCCCGCCCCAGGCGGCTCCCACATTATATACCCAAAATTACGTGTACCATGTTTACAATTCCTGTACCAATACCTAAAATCTACGTTGGACAAGGTGTCCCTATCCTAAACCAATAGAAAAGTGTCACTATCACACCGAGACATTGAGGACAAGGAGAAGGAAGAAGAAGCTATGGCACGCCCAGATTCCTCCATCTTGTACCTCTGATTTTCATTCTACAAAATCCCAAAATTCTAATTTTCCACCCTGTGTCAATTTCTTTATTACATCATTCAAACCCTTTTTGCTTGTAACTCCTCACATAAGGTCGGCAGCCTCTCCCACGGGCTAAAATCAAATCCACGGGTGTTTTTCATTTGCTGCCAAGATTCCTGAGCTCTTTGCCAGGGGCTCGAGTCATCCAGGGCAGCCAGAGGAATACTCTTGACTCCGACACACCTGAGGTTCAGGATCACACAATGGCAACAGGAGAGGCTGCCATGCTGTCCTGGGATTTCTAATGCAGGCACCTGTGAACTGCTCCACACACCCAGCTGCAGCTTCACAGGGAAGCTCAGGGTTTGTTGCATCTTCAGTGATTTTCTCTCCATCATTTCAGAAGTTCTGTTAATGAAGATTTTATGTAAGAAGGTAACAGAGGCTCAGCCTTACCTGAGTAAGTTCGTAGGCTCGGTAAGCAAACAAGGAGGTGACTTTAGCTGCATTCTTTGAAACATGACACTCGTGCTTTGGGGTGGGATCCAACACACTCCTGACAGTTGATTCCATTGCTTTCATACCAATGTGGTCATATATGCTTTTCATTTTTCCCTGTAATAAAGCAGAAGAATGGTCAGCATGAGCTTTTTCCTGGAAACTGACAAATTGCTTCAAGTACCAAATAAATTAAGAACAGAGAAAATAAAACAAGCCATTAAGAAAGCCAGTTCTGGAAGTATATTATTTTCATACTTAAAAAAAAAAAACCACAACATATTTTTGCCTTCTGTAACAATTTATTATGTTTTATTTAAGCTTAATATCAATACTGGATTTTAAATCTAGTAGAGGTCTAGTTCCTCTATACAGAGATTACTGCACTATTAAAATTAAGTTAGGTTAAAACCACCTGTGTATTACCAGTAAGCAATGTAATCCTTCAAGTATAGCAAGACAAAATTACCTTTATTATTTTAAAAATAATCACATCTCCCGTTGCTCCAAATTCTAGAGGATTAGGCTGCAACAAATCAGCATACTTGGAGATATATACACCTGAGAAGAGTATAAAAATAAACCAAAATACATTATGTTGAATGTTAAGACATTATTAGAAGTTTAAAAAGCATTACATGGGATTAAAGCTCAATGCACACAAAAGAATGAAGATACAATTGACTCAAGTGCAAAGGTAAACTAATTTTGTGCTTCTCCATACTTAGTTATTTCATGATTTTACAGCCTCAAACACACACTGTCATTTGTTGGTCTGGCTGACTACCTCAGGTCAAAGAACTGTAAGTGAATTCAGATACTCTGAAAAGCATCCATTTGGCTTAGGTTCCTCTCATTCCAAGTCTGTATTTAATTGCTTGAGCAAAGTGCCCCAGACCCTTTACCAGCTAAACAATAAAAAATCATCTGCTCATAAAGATTTGTTCTTCTCCACCTCACACCTATTTCTGCTTTCAGTCTATATTCATGTCTATGTTCATTCATATTGTCTGCTTTCAATATTCATGATACCTCTGTACTATGTTCCTCTTACACAGGATGACAAAATTAGTTCCTAATTTTCTCTTTGAAAAGCTTTGCAAAAGGAACTTACTGTCTTGCACTCTCAAAACTCTTTTAACACTTTGTGACTCTTCCAAGTCTCCAATTTATCTACGCTCTTCTTGGATTTGTGGATTCAAGAATTTTAGTTCTATCTACGTCAAAACTGAGCTGAGCTACTGTGTCCATGAGGTATCTCTGAATGCACACACCTACAAACAAACACAGAGGCAGCCAGCCACACACTGCATTAGCTCTTTGGCCCCCCAGGTTTACTGGAAAGACATGGGATATTGGATTGACTTAAAGCCAAATGAGAATTAGGCGTTCCCTTTGGAAAGGGAATTTAACTGAACTACTCCAAAACAGAGCTATGAAATAATGTTCTGATGGCTATTTCCTTTGCTAAAAACATCTTGCTGTGACATTGTTGCAGTTAGTGATAGAAAAAGGACTGAAAGTTCACACAACTGCATCACATTATCTAACAACTGCTAGTGAATAACCAACACTTCTAATCAAAAGATAGTTACCCATGGAAGGGCTGCCAAGAACTGTGATTTTGGAGTGGCCAACCTGCAGTCCCTTTTCACATATGCTCCGAATCTAAAGAGAACAGACAGTTTTTTAAGCAATTCTGTTAGGATAGCCAGGATATGAACAGAACAAACAGTGAAAAATTACAATTACAGAATTTAAATAGATTTAAACAAAACCCCAACCCTTACAAAGACAAGACTAGTCTGAATTCTCTGTAAAACTATTAAACTGTGCAAGTAGAACTCTGATATGGAACAGTTACATAGATTCACCTGTATCTTAAAAAAACACAGCCTCCCTATACCTTAAACATTGTTTATGATCATTACTTGCCTTTAATACAGAAAATTTTAGTATTTAAAACAGAACCTGTCAAATGATTGAATGCTTAAGAAATCCCAACTCTGTGATAGCAGACAAAGCACAGAAATCACCTGTCCATCACTTTGATTAAAAGTATATGATCAAAGAAAAGACAGAGAAGACAACGTCCATTTTCTAATATTACAGATTACCTTGTTGATGCAAAAAAAAAGAAGAAAAAACACCAAAACCCAAATGCAATGAAAACACAAAATATTCCTCCTTATTAAGAAAAAAAAAAAAAAGCACAAACCAAATAAAAACTCACATGCCATCCAGAAAAATCTATCCTTTTATTTATAAAACTAAACCAGAGAAGATACAGAGACATGTAAATGGAGTATCTTAAGTATCAGGGAATAGAGGATTTACATGGTGACAGATCCCCTTCCCATCCTTCTATACCTTCCAGTGCTGAATTTTGCAGAAGTAACTTTAAGATTGTGTCAATAAAACCACTCAGAAAAAAAACCCAAAGCCCCAAAACCTCCTAACTGCTGAAGAAAGTAGTTCCCCTGCAGGGCTCACCCCTCACCTGGCACAGATCCACCATGAGGAACGCGTAACTTTCTGAGAGCTCCATCTCCGGGCGCCCATCATACCTCAGCTCTCTGCGCTTTTCTGTGAACTGTTCATACACAAAGTTCTCAACACAGGTACACACACTGCTGCTGCCACACTCAAGTGTCAATGTTTTAAGGCCCCATCTATGTTAGCAGATCCAAATGTACAGAAGTAATCAAAAGATAATCCAAATTAAAGCACTGGATGCTATAATTAGATTTCAAAAACATTATACCTGGGGGAAATCTAATTGGCTTAATCTGCCCAAGTATTTGTTTTTTTAAGAGACACTCCTCAAACAAATCTGTGCAGCAACACTTTAGCTTGATCTTTGTGGCAAACGGGCTAAAACCATCCAGCCCAATGCCTTCCATATAATCTCTGAAACTCCAGAAATAAGACTTTTTCTCTTTTTAGGAGACAGATCTCTTACACTGTGCAAATATTTCTGCAGCTGCACCTCACTGCTGCTGAGTGGTTTTTACCCATATTTCTCAGCTGTAACCATGAATAATTAACGTAATAGCAGGAAATGCTTCACTTTGCTGAAGCCTTCACAACTTCCAAGATGATAATCACAGCAAACAAATTATATATTCAATTACTTCATATGTGAAGCTTTTTGGCACTGGGAATGAAAACTTCATTTGAGAGTGACGAGAGCAAGCCAAGGCTGGATTTAAGAGACACCACATAAGGCACAACAGAAGGGCTTCAACCAAGGTGCTCCGCTTACTAGATCAGTAATCAACTTTAATTAAAGTACTTATTGGAAAACAACAAAACTACAGAGATTATGGAGACTTTTATCAGGCACATATTTTAATCTTAATTTTCAAAGGAAACATCAGCTCTGTAAAGAAGACATTAAAATATCTTTCTGGGTTATTAAATACCCTAAAAAAACTAAGAAAATTTTTGAAAGCTAAAAACACACAGATTTAAGAGGTGCCAAATACAATTTTTCTTTTAGTCTTCTTGGAGTATCTGGCAGGCAAGAGTTTAAAACTATGTAGTAATAAACTTGCCAGAACAACAGCTGCTTACATTAAGCATGTGAGTTTGCAATTAAGACCAACTACATAACAGAAAATAATCCCCAGGTCTCTGCTTCTAGATTGAGAAGCAGCACTGTCATTTGACTGGTACCTTATTGAGAAGCAGAAGCCACAAATATACTCACTTCCTTTTCCAACAGTTCACTATGAACTAAGCTGGCTCTCCTGTATTTAAAATTGGACATTGAATTGTGATCCAAGTAGGAAGAATGTAGAATCTTTATAATATCCTCAAATTCTCGAGAACCTGGAAATACTGGCTGAAAAAGTGCTATAAGAGAGAAGAAATAAAATAATTAATGCCTACGTATATGTGAAAACATCCAAAATTTTCCAGTTCACTGACAGTTTATGCATGAAGAGAAATGGTTTGTGATTCAATTTCAAACACAAAACACCTAGAATACTTGGCAAATATGTACTTCAGAAAATTTATCTTAAAATTTCCTAGAATGATAGCATCTTTTAAAAATCACAGTTAAGTCTTTTAATATTGCTCTTGAACAGCTACTAGTTCTCAGAACTTTCAGAACTGTAATTTACTAATTAACTCCTTTAATTAAGAAGCAGGAACAAATTGTCCTAATAAAAACCTCAACAAGAGTTTCAAAGCTTGGCCCCGCTTCAGAATTATGATGAGGTTTTGTGTTTGTTTTGTTTATGGCAACTAAGCTAAATATGAAGAAATCCAATCCTATTTAAAGAAGACAAATAAGCTCCTATAATTAAAAATATCAGGACCCCACTGCCTGTGCTCATGCTTGATGATGTTATCCCTTATTATACTTGTTTTAAAAGGAAAGTCTTTAATGTGCTGTTGTACAAATTCCCTCCTGGGCAAACCTTTACCCAGTTCCCACAGGGAAGCAGTCATGTCCCTGAGCTTCTTATCTGTGTTTGGGTGCCAAGGTGACAAACTGATCAGAGGAGCAACCCCAGAGTGAGCCAGCAGAGGATGGAAGCGCAGATTTTGAGAGTAGTAGCCAGGGAAAAAACATCTCTGGGGGAACTGAACTAGCACAACACAAGAAGTGGTTTTAATCCTCAGAGTAACTTCCAAAATACGCACCAAAAATGCACGATTTTTACAGTAGTTACAACAGTTAGGAACAACAATAGTACTAATCTCACCAAAAAAACCAACAAAACAAAGGTAAAAACAACAAAAAAGCAACCTACCATTACTCTAACAACAAATTAAATTTAATTCTATCTTCAGAGTATATCCTCCAATTTCATTACAAAATATGGCAGTAGATTTAGGCAGCAATATTTCCCTCATTTGCAGAAAAGATTTACTGCATAAACCTCAGTATAAAACAAATGTTCCTAATGAAAATCAAAAACTGCTCTGTGTTATTTAGTAAAAGTTGCACACTTTAGAAGGCAACACCACATCTGCAAACTGAACTCCAGCAAGGATTTCAACACCACCAACAGTGAGAAAGTGGTTTTTTAAGAGCAGGAGTTATGAAAGTGATTTAGAAACCATACTTATATAACATCCCTCTTAGCAACTACACCTTCATTCATCAAAAGCTGAAAGCAGTATGGGAGAAGACAGAATTGAGAGTGAATGGAATTCTCAACTTAGTATTACTGGGACTGAATGCTCTTGTACTGAAGAGACAAATGCTAGAAAACAAGCCTGCTGCAGGGGTACATGCCCTGGGAAAGCAACCCCTGTTCCACCCCAGCCCCAATGTCCCTTGGACACTACAGCACTAACTTCCTGTCAGAAAGATCTGGGGCTCCCACACTGCCAGCTCCTAAAAACGACCATTTAAGGAGAAGGTTATCTATGCCAGCTGCTTGACCGAATTTCCTGTTTTCTTACCAGTGTTTACTGTACCTTATCCCTTCTCCCTCCTTCCCCCAGGACACAAGCTCAGTAAAAATGAGCCTCTTGCTTCCATCTGGAGACCAAACAAGTGGAAAGCACTGCAGGGTGAGCTAGAAAGCGCCACCACAAGCCATACATAATGTCTCACCTACTGTCCCAGATGCAAATCTAGGAAGAGGCACATTATTACATGAATTAAGATCCTGTCATACACACAAATATTATCAACCATGTTATTTGTGTTCAAACATTTTCTGCCCTGTGGAAAGCTCCAGGGAGAGAGATGAGACAGACTTGCCTTAAACCAGCAAGACCCCCTATCACATCCTGGTAGGGAGAATCTCCATAAACTAGTATACACTTAATGCCCAACACATCAATGGAAAAGCCCCACCTAATCATTAAATTATGGAAAACAGAAAATAAGATTTTTTTTAAGATTGTCGCAGTTTTTCTTTCCAGAACTTGAGGTACTGCAGACTTCATGTTCTCAATCAAAACATGAAACACTACCCCAGTGAGGTGAGTAGCCAGGCAATACTTTTCAGTTCATCACATGAGGTGTGGTATTCAAGTACAGTGATGGTCTAAAATGTTAATGTCACCACAGCAGGGCCTGTACCTTACTTCAAAAGAGTGCAAAACAAGACAAGACTAAAATGAAACCGAGAAGTACTAAACTAGACCTTGTACAGCAATCACCAAGGCCTCTGGTCCCAGGCAAACCATGAAATTACTGAGCTCATCCCCAGTCTCCATCACTTCAAAGACCAGCCATGTGCACAATACATATCTTCCAGGCTTCATGTACACAGCTGATGGGGGCACCTTGCACTTTTACTGCCCTGTGTTAATTAAACAGTAATTAAAGTAATGACTAACCTGCAGCATCCTTATAATACAAGTCAATTATTCTGGGGTTTGCTGGCAGTTCAGCACAGGTAAAAATAAGTGAATAAATATGGGGTTTGTTCAGCTTCTACCCAGGGCACTGGAATGCATGTAATTACTTTTAGGTGGAAACTGAGTTAGCTAGTAACTACTAGTCAAGGGATAGGGACTGGATATTTGGATGTATGTCATGCCTGAGAGGCTCTACTTTTCTTTCACACCTGTCTGATGTTTCAGCTTCAGAAAACTGAGATTGGAGTTACTGGGTTTGGTTGCTTTAAGTCAGAATGTGAAGACAGAGCCATCCTCCTTGAGCAATCCTGAACTAAGTTTGAAGTGAAAATACCTAAATTAATGATTTTCGTATCAGCTAAGTTGGCAGAATACTAACTTAGCTGATAGGCTAAGTTAGCATTCTTCACACACAAGTGCTCCTACTACAAAAGCTCCACTAAGTCTCAGTTTCTTTCAGTCTTCAATTTTTAACACTAAAACAAAAAATCTAGTGTGTTAATGAACTGTGACATTTTTACCTTTAGGACTTTTTCAGCCCAATATGTCTTGTGCTCTCAATAGGCCTAAACAGTTACCAAGTTCAGGGACTGACAGAGTTCTCCACCTAGAAATATCGTGTAGTAAACAGCAGATGCACATCTCTACCAAAGAAAGGGAAAATTAGAAGATAGAAGACAAGGCAAAATGATGAATTAGAAAAGGGACAACCTAGACTTTCATGCAAGTATTGCAGAGTTACATGGGTGAAAACAAGACTTTTTTCCCCTCCTCAGCCTGAGAAACAGCAGTCATTTGGTACTTTAACAGACTCCAGCTTTAATCAACAAGCAACCCCTTAAAGGCAGTGACTGCAGTGTCATCATCATTAGTGGAATTATCCTTAGGTAAGGGGATCTCATACAGTTCAGCAAGTTAAAAGTGCTCTTACATTGATTTATCCTTAAAATTTACTTTCCTAATCCTATCAAGGACTTTCCAAGTAGCAAGCAAACTTGGAAACCCGTGAAGATCAGACAACTGAATTAGAAGAGGCCAGGACAAGCCTGAAGACAAATGACAGATAAGCTGCTCAAGAGACCGTAACACCATTGCTAAACTCTGTGTACCAAGAAAACAAACCTCCAAGGAACTTCTAAGGAGGAAGAAAAATGCAAGCACACCTTAAAAAAATAATATTGCAGCCAACCTTTCGTTTCCTGAATTCCTCTGCCAGCAAAAAGAATGAGAAAATCAGAAGTATTCTCTGTGCAAACTAATCACAGTTAAGAGCTATCTTTTCTTCAGATTACAAAGGATTTCTGTTGTAATTTCAGTCCCTACTACTTAAGTCTCCAAGAGGGAAGATAAATTCTGAAGAAGATAAATAAGCAGCTAAAGCCTAAATTTTCTAGGATATTTCTCTTACATTTTGAAAGCTAAAGCTTAAATTTTTTCTTGCATTGGTGCTTCCCAGATTCAATTTTTAATTTCTTCACTACCAAAAATTGTTCCTGAAACACATTCTGGTGTTTAAAAATATTTAGAAATCCACCTCCAAACCAACTCAAACACCTCTGACAAAATGATCCTGTACATCCTTGGTACATAGCAGCTAAGCCTTCACAACAAGGCAGCAGTTATCTCTCAGGATGGTATGTACAGGAAAGACATGGTGGTTGAAAAAGCAGAATAAGGACAATTCCAAGACAAGAAATGATGGAGGAAGCTTCCATGTGTATTGCTTCATCCTGGGCTTTAGAATCAAGCCAAGAGAGTTCTTTTGAGAGGGACTGGGTCATTCAGATCATTTTGCAATTTAACAAGATGTATTTAAGCACTAGCAATAAGGATACTGTAAGCGCCACTACAGCATCAGATGATCCAGTGCTATCTTCCAGTTCAGTTCCAGAGCTGACTGAATTGCATTTTTCAAATGACAATAAAAATCCCAATTGCAATTTAGCTGTCCTCAAACTGCACGTTTGGCAGGCCATGCCATGAGAACAACACTCAGCAGCTGTAAGCCCACAAGCACCGTGGGCTGAATGGAGCAATGGAGCAGGTCTTCTCGGAAGCTCTAAGTCATCAGAATGATCAAATACCCGCGAGCCTTTCTGCAGGCTGAAAGGAAAAAAGGTGAGAATGGGTCAAACGACCTTGACATTATCAAGTCAATTTTTGAAGAAAGATAAGAATGGCTTCCTCTTCTACCCTAGAGGCCACAGAAGCCTGAGGTTTGAACTACACAGTCCATAAGGTTTTGCACACTGCAGATGGCTCAGCATAGGCAAATGACGAATTAGATGACCTGAGAAGATATTTTAGAGGTTTTTATTCACATTGGAACCAAATGCTAAAGAGGAGCTTCAAATACCGTTGGTTAAGTACTAAACATTTCAAAACACATTTAAAGGTATGCAAATGTAACCACAGGTGGGTGTGGCACACAAGCCACTTCACTTGTTCATGAGGCACCATGTTACACCCAGGTATTTTTCTGTCAGATGAATTATAAAAGAGTCGTTTTCTCCAAATCAACCCAGCTCCTTTTACAATGAATCTGCCAGACTTGTATCACCCCAGAGTGGGGTGGCAATGGGAAAGACCAGGAAGAAAAATGGCTCATTATTGCCAAAAGGAATTAGTCTATTACTGGAAAGACTGGATAATGAAATAAACCTACCTTTATCTCTTCCTTACAGAAGAAAGCATTTCAAGAAGTTAAGATGTTACTCTCTTCTCTGAAGAACAAGAAGCCTATTCAAACAAGTATTGTTGTGATCTGGACTAACTTACTGACTCCATATTGCAAAAGGGCAAGAACTAAGATAAATTTCAGGGAGGAAATCAGACAGGTCTTCAACTCCACTTAACAAAAAGTTAAGCAGAAACCAGTGGAGTCTTGTGAAAAGCAAGAAATACCAGAGGTTTTTAGAGGAAGAGTTATTCAGAAAAAAAACCCCAAACCCTGAAAGCCTTTGAAGCAGAATGCTTCCAAAGCGAGGCCCAAGAACGTGGGCTGCTCCCTTTCTCCCTGCAAAGAACTTCCACCAGATAAGAACAGTCTTCTGCATATCAAAGTGAAGGCCAACTCTTTTTGTTTAGTCTATCCTAAGCAGGATTACACCCTTCTCCTGCAGGGAGGAGGTCGGGGAAGACAAAAAGTGAACCATCTTCGCTGACGCCGGTGTCCCAAAGAAACATCTTCTCCACATGCCAATGCACCGCCAGAAGCAGAGCTGAGATCAACTCAAGCCCACGCTGATCGCATCCAGCTTCTCCTCCTTTTAATGCAGAGGTCTGAAAATCAAGCCGAGCTTTTGGTTTTGCTTCATCCTCGTGACAAAATAAAAGTGAGAAAGAAAAGAGGAGGGGTAGGGAAAGAATGCAATGTAACAGCCTGGCACTAAAATCGGCTCCTCAGCAGCCTCGCGAGTGCGAGCCAGCAGAGCCTCCTCCACAGCGCAGGGTCTGCAGGCAGCCGTGCGAGGTGTCGGGGCTGCCTGATGAATCGGATGGAGAGGGGAGCGAGGTAGAAAAGGGAGGGGAAGGGAAGGAACAACCTTTCTTTTCTCTGCTCTTCCTGGGGATCTGAAAGTTCCTCCTAAGAGGCTGCTGGTCTTCTGGGGGCTTAGGGAGAGGGGGCGGCCCCCTGAGCACACCGCTGGGCGGCTGCTGCTGCTCATTTGCCGTCGAGATGCTGCTCCTGCGCTGGCTGCCGCTACTGATGCTGAGGTTTGTGGGGACCTTGTCCTCTGCAGCAACAGCAGCCACCAGCAGCGCCTCCCCAGCGCTACCGCTCTCAGAGCGTCCGCCATTTTGTGTAGTGTCCTCAGCGGCTCCTGCTCTGTTACTCTCCGCTCCGGGGACGCCCGCGCTGGTCTTCTCCATCCGCTGATGCTGCTCCGGCTCCATCTCGCCGCCACTGCGGATCACGGCATCCGCCATTCCCTCCGGGGAAGAGAGCCCGGCAGCCAGCCCGCGCCTTCTCTTCTTCCCAGCACAGCGCCCCTGGCTAGCGCCAGCAGCGCCAGCGCCGCCTCGCTTCCCCCTCCGCCCGCCTCACGGCAGCCCCCGCCCCAGCCCCGCCACACAACATGGCGGCGGCACGGGGGGCGGGTCTGCGGCCAGCCTGGCACAGCCAATCCGCTCGCGGCGCACGTTATAAATAGGGGCGCGGCCGGGGCGCGGGCAGCGCCCCCGCGATGGGGCGGGACGGGCCTGCTGGGGACCCGCTGCTCCCGACAGCCGGCCCCGCTCGGGACCGGGACCCGCTGCTCCCGCCCCGGGACACCGCTCGGGACCCGCCGCGGTGCCTCCCGGGCCCGGCGCGCTGCCCCGCGGGGACGCCGCTCTCCCGAGGCCGCCGCCCGCTCGAGGCTCCCGCCCCGCAGCCGGGGCGCAGCGCTCGGAACGGGCCCTCCCCGCAGCGAAGCCGCCCTTGGGCATGAATTCCCACCCCCGGCATTTCGGGTCCAGGAACGCTCCGGCTTAGGGCTGGCACTGCCTTCTTTGCCAACTCCCAACTCTTACTACAAATTGACTACATGAGGCCAGCACATACTTCTTACTGTCAGATTCAAAGGGGTTTTTTTTTAAGACATTGGACAAAATGACAGCATTTCACCTTTGAAGAATAAAAATACATTCATGGTTATGAAGGACAGGCAAAAAAGAAAATTTTAATTTACTTCAGCAGGATTCTTTGCTAGTTGCATAGTGAGAACACCACTAAATAACCTATATTAGAGGCTGGAAGGTTAACATTTATTGTCCCTGTAAGGCTCGCAAGGTGCAAGAGGGATATGAATATGTGAAATCCAAAGCAAAGACCTGTCTTTGGCAGCTCCCAGAAATGCACTGGAGTGAACAGTGCCTGCTGAAAATAACCATTCTTGCAGTGCCTAGGAAATGCAAATACCAGATTTTAGTTTTACAAGTAACCAGTGTGATAAATGAATATGATTCGTGCTAACAATTGTAACTATGTTGGTATTTTATAAAATATTTGTTAAAAAATAATAGAGGAAAAGGATATGTAATTAGTGTCACGAAACAGATGTTCTCAGATGTTCATGAGAGAATAGGATGCAGGACGTAGTTTGAGATAAGTAAACTCCCAAAACTGAATAGGCCTCGGGATAATTAAAGAATCAGCCTTGAAATGGACAAAATTGGGATGATTCCAGGTGTCTATGAAATAATAACTCTTCTTTTTGGAATATAATGCTGGCTTCTATAACACAAGTCTTGGGGCACATGTGCAACCTGTGGGGCTGTTCAAAGGAAAGTGAAGATGAGGAGCAGCTTTCACCAGAAGTGACCACCGAAAAGCCAGGACCACCCCTTAGGAACTAGTGGAGCATGTGCTATGTAGTATAGTGATGTGGATTTCAAGAATCGAAAATAGGAGGAGATTTACAGAAAATATTGATGAATATGTATTAGCATACAGTATATAAGTTGTGCTTGGATTCCTTTGTTTCTTGTGCAGGAGGCAGGGTGAGAAAAACCCTCCCCATACCCTGATCGATCGGTTTTGCTTATGCTTTATCCAAACCACCGCCAAATTTCTTTTTGTATCTGCTTGATTATATTTGATTGTATTATTTTATATAAAATTGTTGCTAAGTTCTAATTTTGTGGTTTATTATATTAGGCAAAACATTAGAAGCCTATAATTTGTTTTCTTTGTTAAAAGTGTACTAGTGCTGTAGTTGTTGAACAGATGCATATGTTCATTAGCTACTTAGACCAATTACCTTCAATCCCCATAACTGTAGCTATTCATATGTCACCTTGAAAGCAGACACTGACCTTAAATATATGAAGTTTTCATGCTTGCAGGGTGTGCAATGAACAGGTAATTTAATCTGGCCCTTTTATTAAACCTCTTTTTAGATAAGCTGTAGATCCAAAAATATAAATAACCTATCAGCTCACAAATGGCCTGGTGCTAGTGGTAGCCTCCAGGGTATTAAAAGACAAACTAATAATTATTAGACCCAGTGAGTTTAAACAGGGTAATTAGTATCTGTAACTATAATTTACATAAATTACAGAAACATAACACCCAGTATTTATCTAACTGCAGAAACATAATGTTCTATTATCTAGAGGTAATAAATGCCACAAATGCAGTGTTCATCCTATAGATAAATTAAAACTGTCTCTGAGAATCTGATGTCCTGCCTCTCTGTGAGGATTCAGTGCTGGTGAAGAGAATATTACAGATGTGTTGATTCATCATTGAAGTAATTTAGCTGTGTTTTACATTGTTTAAATAGAATTTCCATATACAAGAAAAAAGAATGGAAATACCAATCTGGTCTAATTTAAGGCTGTGTTATATATCTCCAAGATTCCATTACACATCTCCAAATATGTAAAATTGCTTTATCAATTCTGAATTGGCAGAGCTGTTAAAATCACTTTCAGACTCCTCATGTCTTCAGTACACAAGCAGTTCAGTTGGTTGGTGTTTGGATCACAGAGTCTCTGAAGTCTTGCTTATTTACAAGCAGCACACAAAGTTTTCCTCATCACTTTAACAAGATATGTCTTTGCAGTTGTACAGAATTATTTTTCTGTATTAATTAACCTAAGTCTGACAGAGATCATCACAAAAATTACTCAGTGCTAATTGACAAATGCTCCAGCAATTCCAGATCACTCCACCACAATGTGCATCTTAAATCCCAGTAGATATCAAACAGGTGCAAAGAATCCCAGTTCACAAACCAGCAAAGAACCACCATAGGAAGAGGTTACTTAAATACTCGGAAGTGAAAAAAGCGGTTATAAAATCTGTCACCTTATTCCCTCTCTAGTTTCTGGTTTCTGTGGTTTTTGGTACTTGCCAAGCATTCGACCATGACTCCAGGGCTTGCACCAAGTGGTTTTCCACCTGTGAAATACAAAGTTGTCTTTTGTGTCAGGTAAATAAAGGCAACCTGAGCAATTGTAATTGTGAACTGTGTGGAACGTGGCCATGGGACAGTTATGAGTTCTAATAAACAACTGAGGAAAGCATAGAAGAAGGCTTTTGAACCAATCTTTTGTTTGCAAATAACAATTATAAGTCTTAAGCTGTTTTGTAATAAGAGTATTTGAATTATAATTTTAGAATGTTGCTTAGTATTAAGGATTTTAAACTGTAGCTTTAGAATGTAGAAAAGATTTAAACAGAAGAGGGAAGTGAACCTATCCCAAGCTCCTGGAAAAGGAAGATGGACATCAATGTTGCTGATTAATGATTTCGAAAGGGAAAGATGGACATCACTACCATAGATTAATGGTCCTAGAAAATAGAAGCTGGATCCCATCATCTGGACACACATCCTGGGATGTACATCCTAGGATAATGAAACATGGAATTGATCACAATAGAGTATAAAAATCAGAAAGGAACCAGACATAACCATAATGGATTTACAATCCTAAAGAACTGTGACGTCAGAAGGTAGAAATAGAAACTGCTGACAGCGTGCATAAAAAGGGGAAATAGAAACTGCTGGGGAAAGCTTATGAATATGCATTAATATGATCACTAAATACCAGCAAGCCCAACTGGTGTGCAGAGGGGAAAACCCCCACCACTGTCTTTGCTCATACATTACCATATTAATTAATAAATTGAATTGCTGCTCGATATATTGGCTGAGTCAAGCTTCTCATTTCTAACACACCCCAGTACAAAGATCCCTTTGATTCTGAAATCAGATGATTTTAACACATTAGTAATACAGATTTATATCAGATTAAGAGCCACAAAGAAGGCCAGCAGGGAGAGTTGCATGTTCAAGGAGCAAACTTGGGTGCTTCCTCCAGACATTACTTCAGTATCCCTTTATGAATGCAAGTTTAAGAATTTGAAAACTAAAATAGAAATTTGAAATTAATCAATCTGAGTATATTGTTACAATTTAAATAACCACAAATTACTATTTTACTTTCCCTTACGACTGTAATGATGCAAAACACATCTCATTTCTTCAAAAGCTTAAAAGCTAATTTTGTGCCAACTGAATTTCAGGTTCCAGGAGATCAGGGATAGAAGAACTGTATAATTAATCTTTCTTCCTAAACCATGCAAAGAGAAGAATCTTTGGAAAACTCAGAAACAAAACCTAATTTACACACTTGGAAAGAGCTTTAGTATCATTTACCAGCCATGAAGAAAATATGCCTATGATATTAAAAGGTGAGGCAAAATGGAGCAGTAGTTGACCTGGCTCTTTAAAACCAGGAATATATATTTATATATATTAAAAATTTCCTGAATTTAAAATTTGCAGTAATCAAATCAGCTGTGAAACAACATTATTTCCATGAGATGGCAGCACCAACCTGTAGAACACATTACAGTATTTTAAAATCAGTATTCATTAATAAGAATTAAATATGGAAGAGCTGCCCATTCTGGATCTGAAACCCCCCTTTAAAAGGAAACAAATCATCTTCCATGTATGTGGAACTTGGTTTCAGACTCTGTTAGATCCTGGGAATCAAGACTTTTCCAAGTTCCAGGCAGTGTCACCATAAAACTTCATTTTTATCAGAAAGTGCAATCCATTAAACTGACAGTTCTGATACAGTTTTCAAATTCTGGAAATTCTGTGAAACTTCAAGAGACCTGGTTCCTACTGTCACAGAAGCATTCCAAAGGCAGAGGTCCTGGTTCAGTGGGTCATACAAAATAGGAGAAATACTTTTTGTACCCTGCAATTTTGGCCCTATCCTTACCCAAATTCAAGCAACTGTTCTTGGAACTGAGCTTCATAGATCTCAAACTTATTGTTCCTGGTGGCTCATTACAGACCCTCGTGTTCCTGTTGTCATCCTGGCTTTGTTCTTTTCAGTGCTGCAGACCAAATCTGGGGAAACAAAGGCCACAGACAGTTCAATTTTGTGTTGTAGTCTCAGAGGACCCACAGAGTTCAGAGTCCCAAGGCCATTCTCTTTGCTTACCTTTCTTTCTCGGTCAAGACAATTTCTGCTTTTACCTTTATTGCTTCTGGTCCATCAGGTCTTTCATAAGATACAGCTACCCTGATTCTCCTCATCAGGAGCAGAA